CAGGTTGTTCTTTTTTAACAGTGGTTTGATGACTGCTGTTTTCAAAGCCTGGGGAAAAAACGCCTGATGTGAGCGATGAGTTTACTATTTGGATCAGACCAGTAGCAATAACAGGCAGGACTTTCTTAAAGAAATGTGTGGGAAGGACATCCAGACAGCAGGAGCTTGAACTTAATTGACTTATAATTTCTTCTAGGGTTTTATAATTAAGTAGTTGAAAATGTGTTATTTTTCCTGTATTTATTTTGTTTTGGTTCAGCAATGGTTCTGGCTTTAGAGATGATGTGCAGATTAATCCTCTGACTTTTTTTTTATTTTCTTGTTGCAGGCGGCATTAGATTGGAATTCAGGTGGTAACGTCATAGGAGGATTTGTGAGCCTGTCAATTCTTGCAAATAAAGCTCGAGCATTGTTAATGTTTTTGTTTATGAAATCTGCAAAGAAAGCCTTTAGTGTTGAGCGATAGTTATGTAGTCTTTCTTTATAGATGTCACAATGTGAAGAGTTGTCTTGCAGATCGAACTGTTTGTGCATTTCTCCATGGAGATTTCTTCTAATCAGACACTTTTTTGAACATATCTTTAATTCACTTTAATTGGGGCAATGGAATCAATGATATCTGAAACTTTAGACTGAAATTCATCCACCAACTTATCTATACAGCACTTTACTTTTTCGCCCCTCTGTCTTGGGGGTTTTCAACATGAATGTTGAAATAACAGACAATTCTTAAACAATCATAATCAATGCAGATGAGAGATAAAAGCTAATTAAAGTCAGTAAAGAAATTAGGTGACTTGGGAGCCAAAAGGTCTTCACTCCGAGGTTTGAATTAGGACCGCTGTATTTTGTATTTCTGTTTTTTGTCAATTTCCCTGTAGTGATCCGGACAGGCAATGTCCTGTTCTGCAGCGCCGGGAGGCCTGACACGTGCTGGAGGTAGAAAATCATTCATAATATGAAATATTTTGCACATAACAAAATTTGAGTGCTCTTGAATGAAATACTTTTGAATCGTGTCCGGGGATTCAGACTGTTGCGAGTGCTTTCTTTTCTAAATGTTTTCTAACCCAACCTTAAGGAAACACATGTGGGGGGAAAGAAAAACATATTTAACGACTCAACCAGAGTTTAAGCTGAGAACCGCGCTCGCTCTCCCTGTCCAGTCATTGCTACGCTATTAAAACTCTTAGCCAAGGAGGCCTTAAGGCTAAATGTGTTGGCAACTAAGTTTTTATGAAGTGTGAAGTGAAAAGTTGAAGGCTTTTAAACCTTTCTCTTTACATAATAATAATAATAATAATAATAATAATAATAATAATAATAATAATAATAATAATAATAATAATAATAATAAATATTCCAACAAGGAAGGAAAAAATTGCGTATAGCAAAGCAAATGTGAATCTCTGTCTCTGTTGGGTGCCCACATTTAATCAGTCCCAAGCTTTTAAGGCCTCTTCTTGCTTCCTTTCTAATAAATGAACTGTGGAGTGTTTAAAGCAGCTGTCAGGGGGCTAAATGCAGATCCACTTTATCAAACCGGGATGACAGAGCACCGAGTCATCTGTCAGACTGGTTAATCTGGTCCTGTCTGCTCAGGAGAATAATCATTGTTACACCTACTTGTCCTGAGGGGGGGCGGAGGAGGTGAGTCAGTGGATTGAATAGACGTCCCTGTTTTCTCTCCTTCTTTCATATCTCTGTTTACTCTTGAGGAGAAAATGATTGCGCTTTTGTTGCCGCAAGTTGGAGCATTTTGCACTTCGGGGCCTTCAGCAATATGTGCTGCTGATTAAATGTCACAGACGTAAACGTGATCTGCTGTTCTGAGATGTCAGCGCAAAAGCTGGGAGTGGAATTTAAAAAAAAGAAGCATTTTACACATCGAGATTAAGTAACGGTGAAACACGCCGATACGCTTCGTACCAAAAGGGCAACAAGCCGATTCATCTCCCCAGCTTTCAGCAGAATGATTAACACCAAGTCTGAGCCCAAGAATATCGCTCTGGCGATCAGTGCAGAGGATACAGAAAGGAGCGAGGCAGGGTTAATAATTGAAGACTGTAATTTATCTTTCTGCACTTGTTTTTAGCTTTTCAGGCAAAGTGTCTGCCAGCAGTACTCGTAAAACGACTAAACACATTTGTCCTCTGCAGGAAAGCCTATCAGTTATTCGACAAGCGGAGGCCTTTGTCTTGATAATGAAGGCAGCACATGGTATTAAGCGAGGGCTTTCATTTTCAACAACTTCCATCACTTTGTAAGTTTGAAATGGCAGGTACGGCCAATCAGCATCTGAATTTGAATTTGTATTCTCGTATAACGCGCTTCCTCCTCTTCTGACTGAAAACGTCCGGAGAGGTTATTGACGGTCAGCGCCGGGGCTGGAACATTCCCAGCTAACACTGCTGAAATATTATCTGTTTTAAGATTGTAAATAATTGGTCAAATAGTCCCAAATGTTGACTATTTAAGATCCATTGAGATTTATCGCAAAACAAGCGCGAACAGAACCAATCTCCATTCATACCCAAATGTCTCACCCTTGTTGACTCTACTCTGGATCATAAGATTTCCAAAACATTGTCTGCTATAAGCTTTAACTGTAAATGTCTGCCTTTTTTTTTTTCCACAGATGCATAAAGCTCTCCAGGGAGGAGGTTTTATTGTCTGTTGTGTTGCCAAAACTTTAAGGCAATTCTTCTCTCCTAACAGCGAGGCAAAGCTTCAAAAGTCATTCGATGCCTGAACTGTTTTCTCTGGACAGATGGGACCCATCATGACTGAGAAGGGCTTGTTCAAAACAAAGTGACCCTAATTATTGTTTATTGTTAAAAGGAATCTTTTATTTGAAACCGCATTTATTTAAGAGTGAGCTTCAAGAACAACTCATGATGGACTTGGATTACTTTAATACACTCCCAGGTTAATTTGCCACAGCTCTGTATAGCTGTTAAATTAGAAGTACAATCAAACTACAAAGAAATACATTTTGCAATAGTCTGAACTAAGCTGGAGTTCTTATTGTTGAAAGTCTAATATCTACTGTATAAGTTTAAAAACCCTCACTGTGGTGCATCGTATTTACAAACTGTGCTTAATGCTCTTATTGTGAAGGTTTAGAAGACGTCGCATCTCAGTTCACCTGATGCATCAGTGTAGTATATTTTCTCAGTGGCTGCAATGTCTCTGCTTTCATCTTTTCATTAGAGTTCGGCTTTCATTATAATGTCACTTTATAACGGTAACATTAATCACAAGACATTTTAAGATCCTTAACTGTTTCATCCCTAATTCAAATCACAATAAATACAGTGTCGCATTTACACACGTAGTTGCTTTCATCAGTCGCAACAGATGTGATGCACTAAGAAGGATGAAAGTCCCGTCTATCCACAGAGAAGGATTTTATAGACCCTTTACGACACAGTGTTGATTAATGTTGGCGTTTGCGTAGGGGAAGTAGAAAGTCTGAGGCTGATGGTAGGAACCTGTCCGAGCCGGTCAGATTTAGCAAGTTCACACGTGTTAGTTTTCTCTGAGCCGGAGCGAGAAGTTGGGGATGTTTCTATTTCTAAAGAGGTAAATATGAAATTTAAAAAAAAACAACGTATAGCCTTAACCTAAAGCGCTGCAGCGTTATTGGCTGACCGAAAGGCGTGATGTTTATGTCTGTGAGTCCTGTTTAATTTTTCAGTGACATGAGATTCAAATAAGCCTGGTAAATAACCTCCGTGATTGACTTGGATTTGACGCAAATAATTTGAGACCTGCCTTGTGCTGACTTGGACTTTCCCTTCAAAGACTTGAGACTCTGTCTGGTCTTAAGGGAAATAACTTGAAATTTCACTTGGATTTGGGGAAAAGAAAAAGTTCGACTTTACTGAGATTTCCCCTTCAAAGACTTTAGATTTTCCAGTCAATGACTTTAGCAATGAAGCTTAAGTTGGATGAGTGGATGGGAAGTAACGGGACTTGAACGTCAGAAGCCTGAGACTTGATTTTGAATGGGGGAAATTTGCTTATTAATGTCTCCGCCTAAACCTCAAATGGTTTTCAGTCTGCATTACCCCCTTATTTTAGATTTTTCTTTTCACACACACTAATGTATCCACACCGTGTTTTTCTTGCACGTTTTTTTTCCTGCAAATACTGTTTATTATCCAATAACCCTCTATTTTAGCTTTTAATCTGCCATATAAATCCAATTTTCTGTGTAATTACCAGATGCAATTACTGTCCAATTACTGTATAGTTTGTTTTTTTCTCTCTCTCTCTCTTTCTCTTTTTTGCCAGGTGCACATATGCTGCGCTTTATATAATTATCTGTGGGCAGTAACTCATGCTTTAACTTGCTGGGCAGATTTCCTTCTGGCATTTAAATGCTCACTTAATTACTCACCAGGTGCATTTTCTTATTTTGTGTACTTAGCACACCACCCCGCTGTGACAAGTGAATTTGCCTTCTGCGAAGGCTAAAAACAGGATCTGTTTGACTGGCTTCAATGTAGCAAACCAGCACTAAACGGTGTCTAAGCGAGCAGGTTGTATGTTGCAGTTATTATGCGGCGGTGCACACAAGCCGCGGGTGTTTTGCTGGTGTTAACGTTGGCGTTTGAGCCGCACGGATTGTTTTTTGAAGGCCTTGGCCCAATGGCTGGGCCACAAAGACAACTGCGAGGTTGAAAATTGTCCGTTTTCGACCTTAACCTGCAGAAGTGTAGGGAGGTTAACCTCCGCGACCTCGCAGCAGTTTTGTTTTATGGTTGCTTTTGGAAACATGTAACAGCAGATGTTAACACTCATACTCGGCACTATCAGCTGAACCAATTACCCAGGGCATATGTTAGCAAGAAATGTAAGCAGGGCCAAATTGTGGTATTTTTATTTATTTATTTTTTTTTGCAGTTTTTAATCCTTTGCTCAGTTTAGAGTCTTTTTGTACCCTTTCCCCCCTCCTGCCCCTGCTAACAGTGTTTTATCTGGTTGTCTTCCAGCTGCTGAGTCGGTGAGAACATGGTCATAAGATGAGGAGGCTGGCGACCGCAGGCTGTGGCGCTGGGTGTCGTGGTTAGCAGCTGCCGGTCCTCGGTGACCTGAACTGTGCTGCGGAATTGCCTGTGGGAATAATCGGATGAAGTGTTCAAAGGAAGAACAAAGCGGAGAGGTTTGAGCGGCAGTAGGCAAGACTTTAATCGATGCATTGCATCAGATGACCATAAAAACACCAGCTGGAGATTAATGCTGTTAACTTCCCCCGGAGCCTGAGTTTGTTTGGCTTGTTAACGGGTTTTTGAGCAGCTCTGCGGCTGTTTTTTTTTTTTTCCTTTCATTATGTTTTTTTTTTTTTTTTTTTGGTCTTTCACAACAATCTAAACACTCAGTCGTGCTGACTCTGTTAAAATCCCATCATGTTTAGAAACACGACTAACAAAACGCATCCAGCAGGTTGTCCACTCGTTGAACTCGGTCCGTCGCCGACGAGAACAAAACAAACATCCACCGCCCGTTTCTGTTGCTCACTTTCACTTGAGCAAGGGGAGTGATGTGGATCCGGCGACACACAAAATAATTGTTTTGAGCAAAATCTCCCATCGTGCATCTGTGCGTCTTGTCCTGTACTACTTCACAACATTGGAGAATGAAAGAAAAAGAGATTTCTGACTCTGTTCAACCTCTAGCTTGTTCAGTGTACTCTACTCTTTTTTTGAAGTCACTGACACATTTTGTACAGGTTTTAGTTTTTGGGAAGGTCAATTTTTGTTTTTGTTTCTGTGGGTTTTAGGTCATTGAAAAAAATGAAAAAATTTGGTATTTCGGAGAAGACATGCACTGCAAAAACACAAAATGTTGCCAAGTAATTGGCAAGATTTTCACTAGCTCCTAGTAAAAACACCTGAGTACACTAGAAATGATAAAACACTGACATACAGTAACTTTTCAGCAAGATGTACTAGCTTGTTTTAAGTCAACAATTTATTGATTAATTTTTTTTTTTAATCACTAGATCCATATTACAAGTGAAATAATCTGCCAATGGAACCGGTACTGTTTCATCAATATTAAGGAATTACTGATTTAAAACAAGCTCATCTTTATTGCTGAACAATTACTTGTAAGTTAGTTTTCTCCTGTTTACTTTGATATTTGCAGTAGGAACTGGACCGAGACTCCTTGGTAAGATTTTGTGTTTTTGCAGAGTGATGCAATATACTAAAACAAAAACTCTTGTCCCTCTTGGAGTGAGACAGCTTCACACCATCACACATCCTGTGTTGTATTTAAGAAGTGCTTTATTTATTTATTTTTAAATTTTTTTACATGTTCATCCCTTGTTTGACACCAGACCGACCTGTTGGTTGCCAAAAGGTTTCTTTGTCTCATCTGACCACATAATTGCAGTGAGTCTTTCTAAAGTTTCACAAACTCCACATGTTTACCTTTGTGATGGTAGGATATAAAAAGGCTTTTATTTTCTGGCCTGGATCCAGAGCAACCAGCTGGCATGAGAGCAACTTGGTGAACCCGATAAGTTGCTCCTGGCTGCAGTTCAAAACCGTCTGATGTGGAGATTGTCTTCTATTGTACACGGGATCAAATAAAGTGACTCAGAGCAATGAGGCATTTATAAGCCAAAGAAATGGGCTGTCATGGTTCCCTAATTAAAATCTCATTGAAATTCTGATCAAAAGTACAATTTATAAAAGAAAGCATCCTTTATTGGGGATTGTTGAAAGTCCTAAAAACAATTTGATAATTTTCTATGTGGGGGATTTTGCCCCCCATTGCAAATATGTAATCAAAATAAAGGTTACATTGTTTTAAATGTTGTGTAATTTTGCTTCAAAGACAGAGTTTATTTTTTATAGGCTATCAATTATTTTCACCTGAGGTGGCAGACTCTGATAAAGAGGACAGCAGATGCCTGCTTGACCAATAGTTTTTGAACAAAAACAAATAGTGCATGGACAGGCAACTAACTCTTAACTGTATTTTTAAAATAAATGATCTCGACATCAGATAAAAGTGGCAGAGACAAATCTGCCCACGTCAACTTTTAGCTGACAAGCTGGGAAATGTTAATGTCTGATTTGGCCTTCAGATGACTTCCCTCTTTCACAAAAGTGCAGATCTTGAACTTCATAGCATTCGAATCACACCGTGTTTGGCCCTTTTAGATGAGCTTTTCTAGCAACTCCATTAAAAACAAGCTGATTTATGTCCTGAATGTAAAGCTGCACAACTCCAAGACACAATAAGAGGATGTGTGCAGTTCAGTGTTTACGCGACCCAACATGTAAGTGTTTCTGTTTGCCGGTCCGTCTCGGACCTTTATTTTTGTATTTAATGCCTTTTGCAATCATTTTCCACCAATATTTAACCAAAAATAAATGGTTTCCTTTAACTCATAAGCTTCATGTGTGTTATTACCATTCAGTGCTGGCCGTCTACTTTTATCAGATGTAAAAAAAAAAAAGAAAAGAAAATCAGAAAAGAGAGAGAAAACTCATTGCTGTTGTTTAATCTGCTTTTCTCTAGAAGGAAACATTTCTCATGCAAGATGGCAATCAGCCTGAGCGGCACATTGCAGGAGGATGGGAAAAAACACGAGCAGCTCGGCTCTTTGTTTGTGTAGTCAACACAAAGTGAAGGAGGCACGCAGCCTGCCAGTGTGTTTCTGCTACAGCAGAGCATGGGAGCCTGAAACAGAGCGAAGAAACTGAACAGGAAGGAGGGTGTGTGAAAGAAGCTGCAGTGAGTCAGGGTGTGAGCGGTATTTTGGTCCCTATAAAGTGCGATGTGCTCCTCTTGTTTAGAACTCTGGCAGAAGTTAGTCCCGGCAGTGGGAAATCATCTCCAACTGAGGAAGTTCAAGATGCCGTCGTGTTGTGTTCGTGTTCCCGAAGGGACCGTGGTTCACTTTTTCCTCAAGAACTTCTTTACTCCACATCTTGGTTCGGTGCAGTGAACTTTGTGCTTTAAATAGAGCCATCCAGTCAGAAAGGTGACTCAGAGGTGACTATGTTTGTGTTGAAATTACCCAGCTCTGCTGACAAAGCTTCAAAAAGATAGGTGGGAAACATCAGCTCGCCGTCCTTTCTTCTATTGTGAGTGTCCCGCTTCCTCTTGCTTCTGCTCTGTTTGTGTCCACAGATGCTGGGAATTATCAGTTCAAGTGTTAATGAGCAGAAATACCATCTTGGCTAAACTGTGCCAGCGACTCTCAGTTTAGCACCTTTTTGTAAATGAACACAACGTAAAGAACACGCCCCATGCAATTCTCATTTTCAAGGAGAAATTACAAGTCTGAGTAAAGAATACAGTATACTTTTTTTTTTTTTTTACATATCTTCAGTTTAGTGTCCATGTCGGGTTAGTGTGTGATGAATATGTCCTACATCAACATCCTGTCAAAATGCACACGAATGTGATTTATTTCCTATTTCTTCTCACCATTTCCTCTCAAGTTTGAATGTTTCTCGTGTCCTGCTGCAGCTCAACACTTTCGCAATGCAGAATATGAGCATTTGATGCTTGATGAGTAGAAGTTAGCAGAGAAACCAGTGTTTAACTATGTGCGTGAATTGATTTGTGTGCAGCACATGAATACGATAAGTACTTTCTGGCCTGCGAAGACAAGTGTCAACACTGAGGCGCCGTTGTGAAGCGCAACAGCTGAGAACTTACTGAAATCTTAAAAACAGATTAATTATGAAGACGATGTTCTCCTTTACCCGGCCAGTCCAGGTGTCTGCTGCTCAGCTTGATCATTACAATCCTAAATACGCCATCAAATTCGATAGCTGGATCTACAGAAAACAGCTCACATTCTTTCTTCTCACAGATAGAGATTCTCAAATCTGAGTGTTTATTTCATCAAACTAAATTAACAAAATTATTTTCTTTTTTTTTCTTTATGTTAGTTATGTTATGTTGTTTAGAATTTTTTGTCATAAATGTGCATATTTTAAAGATGTTTTTTCTTTCTGTGTGCTTAATTTTTTTGTCTTGTTTGCTGATGGACACTGGAAGCTCTAAGCAGGAGATTGGTCTGTTTTGCCTTTGGCCTGCATGAAGAAGCCAATATATATATATTATTCAATAATAATGGCAATAAATAACCTTAAGCATCAATCTTTTACTCGCTGTTACTGTGAGCGTGAAGCGTGACTCCAGCGCAGACATGATCAGAAATGACTAACAAACTATTTAAATCAGCTATGCTAACGTAACTGTCAGATTATGAATATTTTCCTCTGGGTGAATACAATTAATCAACCAAAGAAACATGTTGAGGCATAAACGTCTTGAGAACAATTTTAAGTATTCTTCATAAACATGAGCTACACTATTAAGTCATATGCTCCTGGGCGCCCTCTGCTGGCCTGGAGGCTGTAAGAAAAGTATCATTTCTAATACATGTTTACTTTATCAGTCGTTGGGAGTCTTGAACTCCCACAAGCAGATCAGAACGCGCGTCACATCAACTTTTATTAGGCTGGAAATTCGCATTTTAACTTATCTTTTAGTATCAAAGATAAGGTTCTAAATCTACAGTTTTTTTCAATTGGATCAAATCTGAATGCGTTGATATTTGCCAGCTTTGTGTTTCTGCTCAGATCAGGATCTCGCCTCCCCAGGTGGAAGTGGGCACAGTCTTTTTCTTGCGGGAGGGAGCAGGGAGCTGCCTTGGCCTGCAGACTTCAGATGACTCCTCCTTATTGGCCACTCCTCGCGCTGCTGCTTGTGGAGATGAAGATTACCATCGCCAGGTGCAGTCAGTGACAATTGAGACAGAGCAAAGTGTGTGGGGAAACATTCCAGATTGATGACACTGAACGCTGCAGAAACACACCGAGCTGCAGTCGGGGAAGCAGCAGAGGCGTCTCTCAGAGAATTTTAAATCTCTGAGCGTCAAATAAATCTAAACTTTACATTTTTGAACATATCTAACAATGGAGGTACCGGCTCCAATTTGCAACACAAACCATGTAGCTTTACAAGATGCTGAACTAGCCTATTCCTTTACTGCTGGTTTCACCAAGGTGCTTGATATTATGCCTTTAAACTAAACATTAACAGATTTTCATAAAATATAAAGACACTGAGAAACTAACCAGATCTACTGACCACATCAGACTGTTCAAGCACAAAGCATGAAATGAATTAGCCTTGCACTGTGTACAGTTTATCAACTCAAAAGGAAAAAAAAAACATGTTAAAACTTGTGGGTAGATCAACCCTGGCAGCTGAAAGGTCAAAGCAATGAAAAGCATGGGAGGTGTTGTTGGTACTGAGGACAGAGGTCACTTACATGTCAACTGTACTGATCTGTTCCCAACACTGTTACTCATTTCACTTTCAATTGTTTAATTTTATATCAGCTAATGAATTATTCCTGTAAAGAGGTGAGCTGAGTTCCTTTAATGTTTTGGTCATTTGCTGTTTTCATCGGAAACCAGCGATGATTTACAGTGATGACAACAGATTTGTAGAAGTAAGGACAAAGGTCACATAGCTAAAATTATGATGAGATTGGATGAGAACTAATAATTTTTGAGAATACATTTGTTGTTGGGTTTTTTTCTTGCATTTTAGCCAGATTTGGAAAGCTCTCCATCCCCAACATATATGAGCAGTAATATATATATATATATATATATATATATATATATATATATATATATATATATTATATATATATATATATATATTTATGTATGGTGGTGTGTGTGTGTGTGTGTGTGTGTGTGTGTGTGTGTGTGTGTGGGGGTGTGTGTGTGTGTGTGTGTGTGTGTGTGTGGTGATGTATTTGCCTTCTGTCAATTGCATCTTCCCTCTCTCCAATCAGTTTGTCTAAAAATGTATCATCAATATCAAGATGATACATTTATATACATATATATATATATAAAAAAAATTCCCTTCTCACCCACCGCGGGTGGTTCTTATCCTCTGAGCTCGGGTCCTCTACCAGAGGCCTGGGAGCTTGAGGGTTCTGCAGTATCTTGGCTGTGCCAAGGACTGCACATTTCTGGACTGAGATGTCTGATGTTGTTCCTGGGATCTGTTGTAGCCACTGCTCCAGTTTGGGGGTTACTGCCCCGAGGGCCCCGATGACCACAGGCACCACTGTGGTCTTCACCTTCCAGGCCCTCTCCAGTTCTTCCCTGAGGCCCTGGTATTTCTCCAGTTTCTCGTGCTCCTTTTTGCACAGCTGCTTAGCTCATCCTTTGCAAGCTATGTCTCAGCACAACCCTGGTAAAGACGTTAAAGGGTTAATAGAGTAATGGAGGAGTGATGTTGTGACGACTTCCTGAAGGTGGTGTTTTAGGAAGAGCAGGAGTTTTTAAAGAGACAGAGGCCCAATTTCAGGGCATTAAATCAAGAAGTAAAAGATGCTATTTACTATAAATAGCATCTCGAAGCTAGCACTTGATTATAATGTGGCACTATGTGCCTGGAAAACACATAATACTGCCCTTTCATGAGGTCCACTGCTATGGCAGCAACATGCATCCTTCTGAATAAACTTTTGCTTGCATTTCACCAGCAGGTTGGTGGAGATTGGTTCTCAGCAGAGATCAGATCTCATGAGCTTAAAGGTTATGAACTCCTGTAGAGCTTAAGATAAGGCCACCAGGCTTGTTTTTCAGACATATTGTGGTTTTGATGATGAAGGGACACATGTAGAAAAAAAAAATAGAATAAAAAGATTTGCTGTAAGTTTTTGAAAATTGAATCTGCTTCATGCTCATTGCTCATTTTCTTAATTATTTTTTTTCCAAAAGTGTATTTGGCTTTGCTGAATGCTCAAATGTGTTGCAGCTGGGTTTCATAAACTATAAAGGAAAATAGCTGTAGATGTTGAAAACTGACTGTGACAAAAAAAAAAAAGAAAAATGGAGAAAATATTATTAATTATTTTAACAATGGATGGAAATGCTGGCTCCATTTGAAGTAAAATAAAAAAAAGAACACTTGATATGCGTGGCTAAGAAGTGAGAAACGGTTAGTGCTGAAAAGGTCAAACTGTAGATGTCAGACATAAAACCACAGATTTAACATTATGAGCTTTGTGCAATGGTGCAGGTTTTCACTGCTGACAGAAACAATTAATTTCTCCGCTGGTTTGATTTTATCAGATGAACTAACCAGACACCCACCGACAAAAGATACAAACTAATGATGGTGCTTGATTTTTAAAATACTACAATGAGGGTGTGAAATTATGACCAGCTGCATCTTTCTTCTTTGCATCTGTCTGTGAATTATTTTCTCAACAAGGGGATAATAATCAGAATACCATTTTCATCTGAGTCAAAATTCAGAAAATATTTGTGTAAAAGGTGCTTGATGCTTATGCACAAAGACTAAAATAAGTTTGAAAAACAAATTAAATAA